CTCTCTCTCTCTCTCTCTCTCTCTCTCTCTCTCTCTCTCACACTCACCCCCTTCCCTAATAGCAGGGATGGGTGAATGGAGACTTAAGTATATTATTTAGAATATTTGACATAATTAAAAATAAAGGGTGGAAAGGGGAAGGGAAAAACATTATTGATGACTGTTGATAACCAAAATATAATTAAAATATATAGACTTTTATTCATATTTGATGGGAAACCAATTTTTTTCACTGAATACTTTTGAAAGTATCCCAGGCTTAAGTTCTTTAATCAAAAACAGGAGAGTGGGGCCCAATGCCTCAAATTCAAATATTCTAAAATAAAATACAAAGGCCCATGTCTGAGGACTAAGAAGTCCACAAACAAAAGGTTCAGTTTAACTTTAATGCAATTCACCAATACTATGTCAGTGAGCCTAGCATATCTAATTGGACACACTGCTATAAAAAGCCATCAATGCCAAAATGGCTAGAAGGTTCTTTCTAATCAATGTTTGGCCCTGAGGGCAAGGCCAGACCAAAACCCAGAGAATAATAAAGAAATACACACACCGGATATCTACCTACTTCAGTGGGGGAAAATAGTCTTTATGTAAATATCTGAAGAGGGTTCTTTCATTTCTTTGAAGTTTTTTATTAGTGCATCTTTCTCTTACAAGTAGTTTTTAATATAAGAACTTGGCATTGAAACATGAAACTTGAGTTCTGAAAACTATTCTCCAAGATGCTGAAGCATGTTTGCCTCTTCTTTGTAAAAAAGGGAGCTAACCTACGTTTCACAAATGTCTAGGTCTGTGCAGATTATTTCTATAAATGTGTATATTTTTAAAACACATTATATGCTGGTACTCACATAGAAATGTAAACCAGAATGAGAAGCCTCCCAAGTTATCCCACCCTGAAAGCATTTCCCTTTTCCATTTCCTCTTTATAATAAGGCAAAATTCTTGCCATGAAATCTTAATTTAACCCCTTTTGCCAAAACCAAAACCAAAACGAATCTCTCTGAAGGGAAATTCCTAAAAGAATTGGCAGGATATACATGCTGAGAAGGGTATATGTCAATACTGTTCTTTCCCCATGGTCTGCTCTTTTAAAATTATTTTTTTAAAAGGTCTCAGGTATTGATATATCTTCAAAAAAATATCCACCCTAAACTAAGTTACATTTCCATGTATTTTCAGGATTTTTTTCCTCTTTGACAATATTACAATGCTCTGTTTCAAAAATTTTTTTTTGACATAAAAATATATGTGTAAACAGTATGCTAACTGCTCTTACTAGCCCTCTAGATATGGAGGCATCATCTCTAACCCCAGCTCAGCAGCAATGTCCTAGGCTGTCTGCATTTATAAATCAACTTCACCATCAGAACATGGTTTTAAAAAAACAAACAAAAAATTTAGAATTGAAGAGTTAACAGAGAACAATATAGGAGTTTGAATTTCCTTTCTTTTATTTCAAAAAAGGTAAAAGAATTATCCCAGATTCTTGGGCATCTCAACAATTTTTTTTCCAAACATATTACTCAAAAAGAGAGACAGAAAGAAAAACTCAAGGGAAAACCATGGGGAAAAGTCTACCTACTTGCCTAAGAATGCCATTTTCTTCAACCTGCTTCATGTGCAGGGAGAGGGGACATGTCTTTTGTCAAAACAGAGCAAACTTTAAGGATGAGTAATTTATTTGGAAAAAAGGTATGTTCAAATGCTCAACGGGGGAAAAAAAAAGTTTACTTGAAAGCAAAAATATGAGATGGTAGAGAGGAAAGAAACATTTATTTAAATCAGCCAGTCACTCTTTTTCCCTTATAGCAATAGCCTAAGAGCAGCTCAAATTTTGTGAACACTATTCTCTTAAAAAAAACCAGAAATAAAAAAAAAAACAACATAATAACCCCAAACTTAAAAAACCTAATGAGAGCCTCTCCTGAACCATCTCAAAATTGAAATTGTTCTCTTCTTCTGCTCAGAAGTGCAGGCAATAAACTAATAAAACATTTACTTTTCAATGTAATGACCCTCTCCATATTCTCTACTTATATCTAATAGGTAGAGTTGAAGTAAATATTCTGGCTATAACCCATCCAGGGGGAACTGGTACCAACATCATTTTGTAAGTCGCCTGCTAGTAGCAAGTGAGCAAGGAATACAATGGACAAGCTCTGAAGTAGCCAAATGCAGATGATTACCTCGCTCTGGCAAATGATTTCATTAAAGGTTGAGAGAACTGGATGGAAGATGATAGGGAAGGAATCTTTCAGGACACTGAAGTCTCTGGGTTAGTAAGGAACTCCTCTCCCTCTTCCCCCTCTTGGCGGGACTCTTGTAGGCCCCCGATAGAGTTTTCCATAAGCAGAAGACTGAGCTGGGACCCCCCAGTTAAGGCCTGCTCCTGAGCTGCTGGCACCACTGGTTCCTGGCCCCAGCTCCCCATAGTTTTGCAGTTTGGTCTCTGCATGTGCCACAGAGTTGCTGCTTCCCTCAGCCTTCAGGAATGGTTGCCCGACCACTGAGTGTAATGCTACAGGGACCCTGGCAAAACGGAGGTCCTGGTCCCCTGGAAACTGCACTGAACCTGTACCCTGGTAACTGCTGGACTCCCCAAGGTGGCTCACAGAGCCTGAGAAGGTCCTGTTCTTCACCAGGGTCTGGGCCAAGGATTCTGTCAAGGCAGGACCAGAGTTGCGTTCATCAGTGTCAGTGGCACTGAACCCTGTTTCAGGCCCATCAGTGTTTCCGTAAGTCCTGTTGGGATGGGGTCGGGTGGAGTATTCCACTGGTCTCAAGGCCTGGTGCTCATGTGGCAGGTGGCCAGAAGGCTCTGCTTCAGGCTGGGATAAAAGTTGCAGCAAGGCGGCTGTCACGGCTGGGTTCAACTCCTGGGGGGCGCTGGAAAGATCGCCTTCAACCAGAGGGGGTGGAGGTGGCGGCGGTGGAGGTCCAGGGGGCTCAGGGGGCCTCTTCTCTGGTGGAAGAATGTGAGGAGGACATGCTGTGGAAGGGTTACTTCTTTTAAACACCATCTTAAAAATCACATGTGATTATAAACACAAACACACACACACACACACACACATACATACACACTGCCCAACATATATCAATACAAGTAACCAAATATATATAAAGAATAAAATCTTGGGATCCGGAAATTGCAATTTATAAATAAAATCAAGCGATTCAAAGCAAAACAGTTGCATTCTAGATCTAACAGCTGGTGTAAAAAGATCATGTTTCAAATAATTGTCCTGATTTTTGTCTGGGATTTCCTCCATTTCCTTCCTTAAGGAACTGTTCTAATATGTAGGCTGTTGGCAGCCTCCCCGCCCTTTTTCGCTGTTGGATCAAAACATTAATGAAGATAAAGTAGAAAGAGGGAAGATGAGAGGGAACAATACACATGCTGTGGTCACATTTCTAGGACACAATCTTGCTGTACAACAGGAGACCTTGCATGGACTTAGCTAACACATTTTACAGAATGTTTGATGATATAAGGTTAACACCTGAAATAGAACTTAAATAGTATACAGGGAAGATGAAATAAAGTAAAAACTTTCATTACCATCATGTATAAATATACAGTTGCTTCTCCAAACTTTAGTCCCCTCTCCCCATAACCACATTCTGAAGAATATTAACCATCATACTGTCATTCAGCTATGTTACAGTAATCATAAAGACTAAAGTAATCATCTATAATTTTCTATTGTTTTTCAACCTCCCGCATTTTTTCCATGCTATGAGAAAAATTGCTATAGCCATGTCATGCAGAATAGGCTGTTAATAAATATCTGTTTATCTTGGAGACAGTGACAAGAGCTGAATATTCAGGAATGTATTAATGCTACATTCTGTCTTTCCAAAGATCTTTGTCTTTTTCCAACCACTCCCCACTCTTCTCCCCACTGCTGGCTAAATTTGCATAAGCGTGGTAATCATTGTTTGATAATGAACTCCTGCCAACACAGGCAAGTAGACAGGTAAAATGGCGTGAGTGTGAGAATATATAAAACCAAGTACAGTCAGAACAGTGCCTTTGGAAAGTTGGGAGTCACCCTGCTGAAGAAAAGGTTTAATGTTTTGGGATATCTTCCAAATGATTGATTCTTCTGTTCCCTATGGAAGCATATTTTTAAATGTTCATATAGTTAATTCTTTATTATCTGAACTAGTAATATAAAGTCATTACTTATACAAGCCAAAAATAGTTTTTAGTTATAATTAGATATTTTGGTAGCATATTTACCACAATTATATTTTGCAAAGATAATCAATAAAGTAAGTATGCATTCCCTTGACATGCAGATGAAAGCACTCCGAAAACACAACAAAATTGTAAAGTTGTGCAGTGGAAGAATGAAGGCAGGTGCTATATGTAACATACAAGTAGGGTGACCAACAGTCCCAATTTGCCTGGGACTGAGGAGGTTCCCACATTGTCAACGTTAAGTTTTAAAACCAGGACTGTACAGGGACAAGTTGGTCACCCTATATACAGTACCCACCCAAGCAACTTGTTGACAGATTGGCCGGTTGAGTAGGTGGTAGGAAAAAAATGAATTTAATGACAAAAAATTAGCTATGGAAAACTTACACCTTGAGAAGTATACATCCTGAAAAAGGAGAGCTAATTGGACTGCAAACATCTAGATTTTGGAGCTTTTTGCTGTCAACACTACATATCTCACTAATAAAAACATCACAGTACCAGTTATTTTTAAGTATTTTTAGACAAGACATAAAATGGAACACCAGGATTTTTTTTTTTTTAATGTTGAGAGCAAGCAACTTTAAAAACACCCAACTGCAAAAGTGGCATAGCTAACTTTATACTCTTCCAGGAATACTACTTTTCACATTTAAACTTTGCCTGTTATGTAAATAGCCTAGTTGTTTCAATAGAACTAATTCTTGAACTCAAATTCTTTCACATGTATGAGAGGATGAAAACTATTTCAAAATAGCAAAAGCAGGTGAGTTGTAAAGAACTATTAAAGAAAGGTCAGTAAAACTTCTTAAAGGAATTAAAAATAAAGTCACATTAAAAAAACTCAGTTATAAGATTTAAATTGTTAACAATATTGCCGATCCTTAACAGTCTGTACTAATGGAAGGAGGTATTAATGAAATGTACAAATAACTTAAAAACTTCATTTGACTCATTTGATTTCAACCATAACACTTTCTCAACAAGTATAGATAGCGTAGCTAAACAGTAGCCAGTGACAGATTTTCATTTTCTCTGGATTATTTAGTGTGCCCTCTGGTGGAAGTGCTAATGAACAATAAAATGGCTGAAGGAGGCAGCAGGGAGAGAAAGAAGCAAGAACAGGAGAGACACACAGGAGACACCAACTGTATAATCCAAAGTGACTTAATAATTAGGAGTGGCACTTTTACACTCCTATGAAAAGTAAATCCAACAATTTCTGACCATAGGCCAGGCCTTAGTTTTAGTTCAATTTCTCCATTTGGCTGATAGCTTGTTGGCTCAATTACTGCTATTTAATTTGAACCACTTCTTTTAGGTATTTTGATTATAGCTGAAATTTTTTGTTTTTTTGGGGGAGGAGGGTATGAGAGTATGAGATGAGACAAAGAGGCCCTCTTTAATTTTAGATTAACTTTCTCTGTTATTCCATGTCCTGGAGTCCCACAATTGGAACAGATAACAGAATAGCAAAGTGAATTAAGAAACATTAAAAAGAAACACATTAAGAGAGTACATGAGTTCTAGCTCTGGCTCTGCCAATAAATACGGTTTCAGCATGGGGACCATAAACAGGCTAATTTAAACTCCCCGGATTACAGTTTCCCTGTCTGTAAAGTAAGGGGGTTAATTTTATTTACGTTATCTTCCAGTTTTAAAAAGCTTTACATATGAAAAAATAGCTTTTATATTTGACTCTATGCCAGTGAAATAAGGCGTATTCTGCATCATCCCATATGAAATGTGAATGCAGGACCCTAAAATTGAAGGTTAGTGTACCTTGTCAACCTTTGTACCTCTTCTCATTCTTCAACTCATGGGGTCTTCATGGATAGCAAAAATTTCCAAGGAGTTGAAAACATTTTTAGATAAGTAAAGATTCTGCCAACGGACTGTGAATCAGACTATGCATGCTGTGGTCATGTAAGATCAAGGTATAACATATTTCCTTTTTTCAGATTTTTTTTTGTTTAAATAATACTCACTTCCTAATCTAAAATTCATTCAATTGTTTCTTTCAAGAACACAGATTTTAAAGCAATCATTTTATATGCTATTAGTTTTGGAAAGGAAATGTATGGTGTTAATTATCTATTTGGAAATATTCCCAAATTATTCTTCAGGAGATTAATAATAACATTTTATTAGGGTTTTCTTGACTATATCTTTTAGGCAAGACTCTGGTATCCAGCATCCACCACACTTGAGTACAACTGACCACTCGTACAATCTGAAGATGGTTTGTTTGGAAGGAAGATTTTCAAGTACTAGTACTAGTACCATACACACAGTGGTTCAAGATGTATCACTAGCTGTGGTTGTGGTTTCCACGGGTAAGAACACAAGGACTTTACTTACCTACCTCCTAGGAAATGGAAAAACAATCAGTATATGAAAGGTGCTTTGAAAAACTCTGAGACTTAAATAAAAGAAGCCGGGCAAGAAATGCATCACTTGGTGGTATGTTCTCCTGTAGACTAGGTTACAGAAAAACTGAAACTGAGGCCATTGATGTGAAAAAGAAAATGTTAAAGAGATTTTTAAGAGGATCAACAGCACCTGAGCTCAATGAGATTCATGACCGGTCTGTTTACCTGCTGCCTCCTCCTGTGGCATTGTGGGAGTTCTTCGGGGCCCCTGTGGCCCACTGTTCTTGTCACTGTTGTTTTCCTCCAGGCTGCCTGCTGGCTCCTGGGTTTTCATCAGCTGACTCAAGAGAACTGCCAACATATTCTGCATGTCAGCTGGTGTGCTTGAAGCTTCAGGGGTAGTCTGTTCTGCTGAAAGCTGGACCACTGAAGCAGTGGGTGCCTCCTTCAAAGACTCCTCTGGGCCCATGGGCTCTGAGTCCTGCTGTTGGGAAGTGGCTTCCGTTAGGGCACTGATGGATTGGTTCAGGGCCTCCAGCTGCTGCTGTATCTCAGGGTTGGAGTGGATATTAAGCAGCTGTACCATTTGAGGGATGCTCAGGTCGGTTTGGCTCTGCAGCAGGTTTAATAACACTGCCAATTCACTTTGATTCAATTGCTGTGTAATGTCACCGAGGCCTGTGGAGACAGAGTAAAGCCAATATAAGAGGATGAGGCAGGGCAAAAACTTTTGCCTTCTACAACTGATGATAATATCCAGTGAATAAAGTTTCATTTTCAATGTCTCATTTTTCATGCCTCAAATTGTCATGACACAGTTTGTTTTCTTTATATAATCACTTAAAAATAAAAGGACTAACTGAAACATCTCTGCATGATGAGTAAAAGCTGTTTCAGTTTACCTTTATTTTTCAAGGTCAGTGATTTTTAACCCCTACTATATGTAAGAATTACTAAGAGAGATTTTGAAATTCAGATGCCTCAGGCCCCATTCCTAGAGATCTTGCAATTGTTCAGGACTGTTTATTTTTAAATCTTTCAAGATGATTCTAATGTGCAGCCAGCACTGAAAACCACTGTTGTAGGTGGACAGGGAAGAGAAAGTATAGTTCATAAAAACTAGTGGAACCAAAGGAGAACTACTTTGTTATAATAGATCATTATTATAGTTTTGAATATATTTAGATAACAGTCTATGGAACTAACTGCATTTAGCAATTGTAATTTAACATGACTGGATTCTAAGGTCTTATCAAAGCTAACATATACAGGGTTCCAAATTATGTGTGTTAGAGAACCATGGGTGAACTAACCTTAAATTTGGCTTACCTAATTTACTGATTTATGCCACAGATCTAACTGAGATATAGTGTTCCTTATTTCAGGAAAGGAAAATAATCTATTGTAGACTTTTCTACGCCACATGTATAAAACTTGGTTTATCTCATTTTCCCTCTAATGAGAATATAACTTCTTTATTAATGCTTCAGTGGCTAGAGAGAGGGAAAGAGAGAGAGAGAGATCCTTGCACTCGATTTTCAAAGCCTGCCAGAATGTGCTTAATAAAAGCACAAAGGATCCATCCCAGCACTGACCTATTGCATCCCCAGCCCCAGGCTCCACTTTGCCAGGAGCAGGCGGAGGTGGTGCTGGGCTGCTGTTCTTCACAGGCTCAGCACTTGTCCCTGAGGTAGTTTCTTTTCGAGAGGCTTTGGGGGGAGGTGGCTCTTCTACCACAATACCACTTTGTCGTTGCCGTCGCCGTTTCTTACTCCATAATTCATGGCAATCCTGCCAGTGGGGGAGGCTGAAAATAGACAAAATAAAGGGAAAATGTGTGTGGGAATGTAGTAGTGAGTTAACAGAGAAATGAGATTAAAATGGGAAAGCAAAGAGCAGTGGGGAATGGAAAAGTTAAGGAAAACATAAAAATAACCTGAGAAGTTAATAAATAGTACCAATATAAAAGGAATCATGGCATATATAGTTTAAGGAAATAAAAGTCCAAAAGCTTAAAAGATTTCTACAGTGAGTAATGAAGGCCTTACTATTATCGGAGAAACACCTGCTATATACTGGGTTTTCGGAAAAGTTATGACGCATTTTTGCAAGAAAAAATACATCATGACTTTTCCGACAACCCAATAAATGCCCTTATGCCAGCCAAATAGTTAAGTCTTATAACTGTTCTTGCTTGGTATAACAAGAATAAAGGAGAATTTTATTGGTCAAGTTTCAGTTGGGAATAAACAGCACAGAGATGACTGCTTGTGAGTATCTACAAAAAGTCCAGACAAAGTGGTGACTTAAATCTTGGAACAACACAAGCATCATTAAATCACCTCTGTGTAAAACCAACTTATGTGTTATTTGGTCTGTGAAGACCAAAAAAGTGATTCTTTCTTCTTTCTGCCCACTAAATTTCCATGACTGGATATTTTCATTTGTGGAGTTTATTAGAATATTTTACTATACTTCCAGACTTCCCTATAATAATACAAATAGTCCCAGTAGGTTAAATCTTACTACAATAAAGATTACCATAGCCAAAATCTCTCTATAACAAGAGTTCCCAAATTTCAGTAAAAAGCTTAGGTATTTCAAGCCACATTCAATATATCAAAATTCTAGTGCAGTAAATTTCTTTTGAACTATCAGATTTGCAGTTACTACCAACTCGTGTACTAATATCCTATCCATTTCTTTAAGATACACAGTCTTTCTCTAAGAAAGAAAGGCCTAAAAACTGATATGAAAGCTAAAATGCTGTCAGTGATCAATTCAAAGGTAAAAGATCTTTTATTTGCCAGAATGTGAGATGTGAGTATAAAACCTGAGGCTCCTATAGAATATAGGAAATTCATAAGGTTCTGATTAAAGACAAGACACATTCAAAGACCATATTTTCTACATCAAATTTCAGGATATATGACTGGACAGTGATATGAACTACTTAAAATTAGGACTGTCCTTGCAAGTGTGGGATATACATGGTCACTATAGACATAGGGGATTCAAGTAGATGGAAGAATTAAGAGCAAAAATTAGAAGGAACACCTTCAAAGAGGTTCTACAGGGCAATATGCTGGGGATCCCGGGACAAAACAAGATAGCTTGAGTCAAATTAAAGCAAATATATCTAAATCTATTCCTTGTTTTTAAAAAACATAAAGCAATAAAACCTCTTATCAACCATACTACTACTACTCAAGGATACCTCTCCATTTGGGACTCGGCCATTTGTAGTTCCTTTCAAAAATCTATTATTTTGAATTTCTCATCTAGGGGGAGGTTTAGGGTCACTGCATGGCCACCAGCACTTACTCTGGAGGGTCCATTTTGCTGAGGTCGACATCTTTAAGGAAGTCACTCTGTAGGGTCTGCTCAGCTGTACAGCGTTTGCTAGGATCTAGCGTCAGCATGTGGTCCAGTAAATCAAGTGCTGCTGAAGGAATGCTGTGGAAAGAAGAGAGAAAGAACAAGTTCATAATGATCCCACAGTTCTTAAACATGTAACCTTGTGTCAAAGGTTTCTGAATTTCCAGCACCACGTAAAACTGTAGAGAGGGGGCTGGAAGCTGGCTAAACAAGCAAGCAGATTTGCTTCCACACAGGATTTATGAAGTGCAATAATACAGGTAGAAAACATGAAGCCAGAAATTACATTCTCTTTTTGTCTTGGGAAGATCAAAAGCACTATGAGAAAATTTATATATTGATCAAAATAAAATGGTTTTCTATCATCTAAAGCCTTCAAAAGAGAAAATTACAAAAGGCTATGACAATACTCATATACTGTTCAAAAATAAAATGTTTTCCTATGGTGTGTTGCCATAATAAATTGGGACAACACTAATACCCTAGGCCAGGAAAAAGTCAAGTCCAAACACCAGCCAAATACAGAAAACAAATGTACATTTTTGCTAAACTCACAAAGAGAATTCTTCTCGTAGACGCCTTCTATATTGCTTCTTCGGTTTCATGGTATTGAAGTATGGCAGCTTGATAACATCAGGCCACACAGCTGGACAAGGGCTACCACAGAGTCGACTGAAAACAAAGCAAAAAGCAAGAACAAGGAAGTGAGTGAGTCAGCATCATGAATTCTGGAGACTCTAGAAGCAGAAGTGATTACCTCCTGAGGTCTGGGGAATCTTGGCTTATTAAACTAGAGGGCATGAAGAAAGGTAAAAATCTGACTTCACTGCTTTAAGGACAGAAGGAATAGGGCAGAAAGAACTGCTTACAGGATAGTGAAGAGAAAATACTGGCCCAATAGTCCAAAATGATCCACATACATGGTTTTGTAGAACATGTTTTTGTTTTTTTTTACTATTATAAAAGTTTATTTAACAAAAAAGTTCAACATGAAAATGTACATGACCCGATTTTTATATTGTGGTAAATATAACAGGGGCTGTGGTGAGGGGACATGTGGAAGCAGTTGATTTCTCTGGTGAACAAAGCCATTCATTTCTTTATACTCATTCCAAGGCTTCTAACATGATGGTACTATTTCCTTGAATTATCACCATTCCAATATCGTTCTGTTGCCCACTAGTTGCCATCTCCACACATTCATCTATCACAAGATTCATAAAAGTATCAAATCCCTGCAATATTCCTTGGACACGTCTGCCACTTTGTAATTTCAACGATAACTTCTTGTCCATAAATTTTTTTCAACTTGGGAGGGTGAGCTTTGCTCATGGTGCCTACTCAAGAGAGCTCAAAGCTGCCTCCAAATGAAATTCATGGCCTCCCTCACCACGTTTTTAATCCTCCACAGAGGTTTTCATTACCAACTTTGTTCTGTGTTAATGTCAAATGGCTGAGCTGGTCGTATAATTTTTCACTATAGGAAAAATTGGCAGAAGAGAGCCTAGACTGAAAAGTTTGATAGAAAACTGACTTTACTATATAACAAGTAATGACTTATATATCACCTTTAAAAAAGCCTACATTAGCCTGCTGTATGCTTTCCTTTAATCTTACTGGAAAAAAACAACAAAAAACCCAAATTCCATCCCAACTGCAGGCCTTCCTAAAATCCTCTATTATAGGTTCTATTTTATACTGTTTACACACTGTATCACTTATTAAACTGTGAGCTCTTTGAAGGCAGGGACCTATCTTATTTATTTCTGAATTCTAAAGTTAACAGAGAAAGGGAATTTTACAAAACAGGATCAATAAATGTTTGCTGAATACATCTGATCTTAATCTAACCTAAGAATGAAACAGCTATCCTGAAACTGGCATGATTTTTTTATGAAGAACTAATAAAAAATGTGCAAAGATCTAAAAAGTAGGTAGAACACAACTTCTATAAATATATAGCCCATGACAAAATATATGGTAAACCTGATTGAGTAAAGAGAAACTTACTTGGACATAAGGAGCATAAAATCATTTAGCAGAATGACTGAAAAGTGTTAGAAATTAGAGGATGAGATTACCTATCACACCTGGGCACTCAGAGCACATGCACAGCTGTACCTGATCAGTTCTAGCTGAGCCAGTTCCAGATTGGCTTGAAAAATAGGCTTCTTTGTGAACAGTTCCCCAAGGATGCATCTAGAAAAAGTAAAATTGAGAGGTCAGAAGAGAAATCCCTGGAGCCTATTTCAGGTGTGTCTCAATAAACTTTTATAGTATATCATATCAGGCTGCATCTGATATATATACCATGTTGTAAATTAGCCCCAAACTGCACTGTTTTCATAAAAGTTTTATAAAAGAAAATATTTCTTGCAGTGAAAATAGACAGTATAAAGGATTTAAATTATCCAGTACATCAAACTTTTGCCACCTATAAAGGAGATTCTATATATATAAGCAAAAACAGAGAGTCAAAAGTCTTTTTCCATCAATTCCATTGTAAATTAAGGAAATAACAAAAGACTAAAAAACACACACTTCAATTTTACAAGAATGCTCAGTAGTTCCTATAAAGAGAATATTAGCTTTTTCATTTATCTGCTTTGTAGAATGTGCGCTATGCTACTGCCCTCTTGGCACTATATTGGTAAAAAAAAAAAAAAAAAAAGTTTATTGTCATTAGCCAAGATCAGTTTCAATAGGATTTTCAGATACATTATGCTTAAACACTTTTATCATTTAGAAAAGGCCTTTCAAAACTATATTGACATATTTACAGTTTCCAAATTTCTCCACAAATTACTTATTAATTACAAAAGGAAAACTAGTAACTATTTAGTGGAAGGAAAAGGACAACACCTTAGCCAAGTGACCAAAATTAACATCACCAATAAGAGGCAAACGGGGTTGATGTTAAGTACAAATGTGATACCTTGAAAAGAACATTTATGGAGTATTCCAGCCAAAAATTCGTAACCTGAACCTATTTAGTAACTGGTCTGTATTTTTAAAAACGTAAATGTCATGAAGTTGCTAAGGAATAGCAACTAAATATATGATGCTGGATTGGATCCTCTATCAGGTGAGGTACTTGTTTCCAGGACATTATTAGAGTACTGACAAAATAAGAATATGTAATGTAAAAGTACTCTATTAAATAAAAATAGTGTATGGGCCGGCCGAGTGGCGCGATGGTTAAGAACTCACTTGGGATGCCAGAGGGCCCCGGTTCGGATCCCACATATGAGGGCCAGTGACACTGCCCTCTACAGCTAAGATGCTGAACAACAGCTCGACCTGGAGCTGGGCTGCCCTGAGTCGCCGGCGACGGCATGGGCTGCAGTCCCTGCGGCAGTGGATTGCCATGGGCTACCATGTGTGGCCAGCAGCCAGCGTGAGCGGCCAGCAGCCGCAGTGAGCGGCCGTCCAGAAGCCGGCGACTGATCTGCCTCGCCAGAGAAGAGCGCAATGATGGTGCCAACTTGGGCCAGTGAAGCAACATCCTCCACAACTAGATTGAAGAACAAAACGACAGCAACTTGTCTGTTCCCCTTCCCCCAATTCCCCAGCACTGTTCCCATCCCCCCAATTCCCCAATAAAAATCTTAAAAAAAAAAAATAAATAAAAAATAAAATAAAATAAAAATAGTGTATCAATGTTGAATTTCCTGAATTTGATAATTGTAGTGTGTTTATTTAAGAAAATATCTTTGTTCTTAGGAAATGCATATAATTAAGAGAGAAAGGAGCATGATATATACAGCTACTTTCAAATAGTTTTGGAAAAAAATATGTAGTATATTTATAAACATACACATTTTATTCTATGTATATATTGTATGTTGTATTATATATATACACACAATATACATATATGAATATAAAAGCAAATGTATCAAGATGTTAAAAATTAGTAACTCTAACATGAATGAATCTCAAAATAATTATGCTGAGTAAAAGATGCAACAGAAAAAAGCATATACTGTATTATTACATTTATATAAAATTCTAGAAATGGAAATCAATCAATAGTGTTAGAAAGCTTAACGGTGATTGACTGAGAATGGAAGGTGTGGATAGAAGAAAGATTACAAAGGAGCACACGGAAACTTTTGGAGATGATAGAATCTTGTGGTGATGGTTTCACTGGTGTATACAATATGTATGCTTTAAATATATATTCTATATCTCAATTAAAAGGTTAAAAAGTTTAGTGAATCTGGATAAAGGCTATACTAAAGTTCTTTGTACTGGTCTAGTAATTTTTCTGTACATTTGAAATTATTTCAAAATAAGCAAAAACAAATGACAAAAATTACATGAATACTTCATAATTTTTGTATGTGTGAAGTATTTCATTTTTTAAAAAGTGGGGAAAGAAAAAAATGGACAAAGGATCTCTTCTCTAGCCTGTGCTTTGAAATGAAATTTATTCACAAATACTCACAAAATCAATGTTTATATAGCTTTAAAGTTGTTTTGCTTGACTAAATTTAAGAAAGCAAAACAGACCTAGCTCTTAATTATTAGCACCTTTCTATTAACGTTTGTTAATCTCAAATGACAAATTCTTACTTCTAACATTCTCTCAAACCTTATCCAGAGATTTAAAAAACTAAAAATATTTCACTGTTTCCAGCATTAAGTGCCAAATCAAATTCCAAATACAGTGGTAAAATAAGAGACAAAAAAAAAGTTGGGGTTTTCAGATTCTAGATATAATTTGATAAATTAGTCTTTCTAGTTTCTTCCCTGATTTTCCAACTGAACTGCTCCAGCAATTCTCTGAAAAGAAGTTCCTACAAAATATCTTCAGAGAGACTACCACGGATCACCAAAGTAGTAAGTTCACATCAAAAGTCAAATAAAATCTCAATTCAATTAGCCACTGGTCTTTAAAGAAAGTCTAATTTTCTATAATTTTAATTTCCAATTGTGTGCTGTTTTTTTGTTGTTGTTTTTTTAAATTTCAGTCTGTTGGTGGGGAAGACACTGTTATGTAATCAACACTTTGCTAATGCACAAAGATGGCAGGTTGCAGGCTGAAATTATAGTACCAACAGAGCTATGAACTTTCCCTGTACATCTTAATGGGGCGTTAACTTTAGAGCCTAGTTGTGACAATTTAAATGCTAATACTGTTAAAGCAAATAGTCCAGAACACAAACACACCCAGCTTGAGTCAGTAAAATTTAACTAAAGCTTCATTTGAGTTGGGTAGGCTACGACAGAAATTATGCTCTTTTCCCTTTTTTGAATTTTGAAATAAAACCCCTGCAGTGCCCCTTTTAAAGAATCACGTTAATAGAGGGGAAGAATGGGGGAAAGTGATATACTCCACTGGCAAGTATGTATGTCAGAATCCTAAAGCATGGAGCCCAAGGACAGTGTATTATGTATAAATCATACATTATAAGAAAAAATTAACAAACATGGCCCACTGAAAATGTCTATACCCCTAACAAACAAATTGTAAATATCATTTCCCACTAAAAGGAACTAACACTCCTTAGAGAAATGGCTGATATCAATCAGTTCTGGGGCACAAAATGAGTAGGATAAGCCTGGAACCAGAAAACAAGGAAGGCAATCAAAGAGTACTATGGTTATATCAAAAGGACTAAAAAATTAACTGGAATAAACTCCCACTGGCCAAAGACTAGACAGTTTGAAAAGGAATTAACCAGAATAGATGAAAACAAATCAAGTATGTCCATGAGTTCATAATGAAGCTAAAAAACAAACCCCAAAATCCCTCTCTTTGGTCATCTTTGGAGGATGCTAGGAAACCACACTTCATTAACTTGAAAACTGATAAATAACATGAAAGAATTAAACCTTTATCCCTACTTTTTCCATATCATTTGTACCTATAGTTAGCCAAATAGGTAAGTTATTTTTATTTCAGGAAGGAACGATATAATTAGAATGTCACCACCACAAAACAACCACAAATGAATTAATGGATGTGGATGATTAATAGCTGGTAACATTTCAAAAAGAGACAATTACATATTATGTAAAGTGGTGTATGTGTAAATCTGCTCTGATAGGGATAAGTATTTTATCAGACATTGTTTAGAATTGCCTGTATAAGGTGATAATAAAAAGCAGACTAATTTGTAGTGAATTATTGTTTTTATATTTTTTAAGACGTAAATTTATTTTATTATTTATTTATTTATTTTAGCAGAGCCATCCTGCCACCTGTCGGCAGCTCAGTGGACGCTCAACTCGGACCGGGAATCGAACTGGCGACCCTGTTGCTCAGAGCTTGCACTCTTGAGCGAACTCTTAACCAACTGAGCCACTCGGCCGGCCCTTGTTTTTAAATTCTTTACAGACAATGCACCCAGTTATTGCCTGTACTCTGGGCAGAGGCTCCCACTGCCTCCCAAACCCAACTTTGATGTATTATTTACTATATAATCTGTTGGAAGTACTCAAAACCACCTGTAAAGTAGTTTCAGAGTCAGTGGGTGATTGGGAATCAAACCTGAATTCACCTACAATTTACAGAAGATAAAAGGGATGCAGAACCATGCTAAAAAAAACCCCCAAAAACCCACAAGGGTGCAATTAGCAAAATCCAGACTGTGGGAGACTCTATTGGACAAATGACCCTGTTTCTTCTAAGGAAATTGTAAGGGGACCCAAGAGAGATGGAGGAAGAATCCATAATTAAAAGACTTGAGATAATCAACTGCAGTCTATGGACTTTATTTGAACGTATTTGGATTTCAATTCAAACTATGTTAAAAGGGGAAAAAAAGACAATTGATGAAATGTTAAAAAATTGTCTGTTATTAAGAAATATTCAACAGATTTCTCTGAAACTTGGCTAAAAGTTTATTCCCATCCTTTTGAACTTAAAAAAGCTGCAAAAGGTCAATGCATAGAGAAAACAGGATACAAGTTCAACAATATGTGAGTTACAAACAAAAGAAGTGAAGGGAGCCTTACCCACAGCTCCAAACATCTATGGCTGGTGTGTAACGCTCTTCTCCTAGCAGAAGTTCTGGAGGTCGGTACCACAGAGTAATGACTTTGTTTGTATAAGGGCGACTGAAATGTAAAAAGCAATCATGACATACCTGTAAAAGGCTTCTGATGCAAAATATTTGTATATTTAAATGCAAACAGAAATATCTACCAATTAAAGATGGGGTTATTAAAACAGCTCCCTAGCAACCTAATAGTTCAAAAGTAAACTGGGTAGAAGCAGGAAATGAAATAACTTCCATTCCAATTTGGGTTGATTTATTTCCATCTAAGACTGATTCAAGAATTTAGACAGAATTTACTGTCTACAATCTAGGTGGTAACACATTTAGAAAATCAGGGAACTCTGACAGTTATTGCATCTTACAGGAACTAGGGTTTCCAAGAATAAAAAAGATTCTTTCTATTTCCCACATGTAATTTTGATGAATGCCTCACCTCTCTTCAGAGTTATAGAGTCGAGCAAGTCCAAAATCTGCTAGTTTGATTTGCCCACTGTAAAACAAAAAAACAATTATTTTCATAAGTAACAGTGGCAACCTCCAAATTATGCCTAAAAAGCCAACTGTTAATTTAGGAGTTAAAGAAATTGCAAAAATTAATTTTAACCTTTGTTCTTAGTTCTACTGTTAATGGTCACTCTCTCAGGTTAAGCCTCTTTTGACTACTCTAATTTACAAAGCCTTAGGGTTTTCTTTTTTGACAACTACTGTATTTTTAGATTTGACTAAACTAAATATTTAAATTTCTTGGCAAACAACAGTAGCTAGAACCTGAAAGACTTATTGTTGGGGAAGAAAGAAAGGGGCTATTCTAGATTAAGAGAGATTTACAATGTTATATATAGATGATGTATTATAGAACTGTACACTTGAAACCTATGTACTTTTATTAACCATTGTCACCCCAATAAATGTAATTTTAAAAAATTAAATTAAAATTTAAAATTAAGAAAAAAAAAAAGAGATTTAAGAGGCTTAGCAACAAATCCAATTCATAATCCTTGACTGATTCTGGTTTGAACAAACTAGGTATATACAAAAGACATTTTTGACATGAATGAAAAAAATGTAAAATATGGAATGACAGAAGATAATAGGCAATAATTAATTTTGATAAGAGTATTTAGGGGTCAAATGTAATGATGTCTGTAATTTACTTTAAAATAATTCAAGTGGAAAAATAAAAAGAAAGCAAATATAGTAAAATGTTAATTGTATATGTATTAATTATCTCAATTTATTATGAAAAATTTGACATTTTTTATAATAAAAAGTAAACAACTATGTGGCTATTAACAGATTTTTTTCAAACAGGAAACACAGCTTTGATCTGAGCAAACAATTATTATGATGAATGAGGCTCCTTCTACTAACCCATTGCCATCACTTCCTATACTAGGATATACAACTATGGCCTTAGAGGGGTTCTCAAACTTTAATATGAAATAAAAATCACCTGGAAAGCTTGTTAAACATTTCCTGGATGGAGCCCATTCCCAGATGTGCTGAATCACTAAGGGTCACAGATCATAAATTTGAATTTCAAACAAGTCCACAGGTGATGCCAACACTGCTGGTCTGAGAGCCATACTTCAAGAACCACTCCCTTAAAGGGATCACACCCACATTTCACTCTAAGTATTCTGACTTTGACAGTGATGTCAAGTAATATTTTAATAAACTGCAACATGAAATGTTGGGAAACTATTTAAAAACCATTTATTAACTATTTTGGATTAATCATATTTATTTAAATTCTAACATAGCCTATTTATTTACAGTTACAGCTTGTATTTATACCTCTTGGGGAATGAAAGGCCAGCTCACTTTTTTTTAAGGAGTTGGGGATATCTCAGGTGCGTGATAGCTCAGGTCAGGCAGAAAAATGAGATAGAAAAAAAGAGGTTATGATAGGAGGTGCTCCTCAAAATATTAGCAATGGGACACAACAGTAAAACAAGGTAACTACTACAGGCATAACTCGTTTTATTATGCTTTGCTTTATTGCACTTTCATCAGCATGGAGGCAAGATACCCCAACAGCAAAAAAAAATTAGGACTCACTGAAGGCTCAGATGATGGTTAGCATTTTTTAGCAACAAAATATTTTTAAATTAAGGTATGTATGTTGTTTTTTTTAAAGCTGTTGCACTCAATAGACTACAGTATAGTGTAAACGTAACTTTTATGTGTACTGGGGAACCAAAAATTTGTGATTTGTTTTATTGTGATATTTGCTTTATTGCGGTGGTCTGAAATCGAACTTGCAATATCTCTGACGTATGCCTGTAACAACAAAATTTTATATTAAATCAACCCTTATCATACCTAGTAAAAATTATGGTCATCTTACCTACTTTCCTCAAATATCATTACATTTTAAAGTTCAATTTGAAAGCAAATTCTGAGAAAAGCAAAAAGGAAAGGAATAGCTGACTTAAGCCCTATACTGAGACAAAAAGGGTTTCTCAAATTTCTTGGCATTTCTCTTACTCTGAAAGCCTGAGGTGATCCAAGATTCAAGACATATAGGATGACTCAAAGTTAAAATGGCCATATATATAGTTATAAAAAATTCATCTCGACTTAAACATCACCAGCACCTGGCAAATTTCATAATCCATCCCCTGCCCCCCGCCACTCTCAGTAAATAACCTTCATTGAAAACAGAAGTCATCTGGTGAGGGCTACTTAACATCCTCTTTTACCTGTAAACTTTTTGCATCTATAACCTTCCTTCCTTCTTTTCCTTCAATTACAGAAAAAGTGCGTCAATCTCTTCTTGTTCAAGGATAATCAACACCTACATTTGTGGCTACTACCTCCTCTGGCCTTGATCCCATCTCTAGAACCTTGCACCTTTAAATTATTTTGGTTCTTTCCTGAATCTTCAATGTCTCCCTCTCTATTGATTTTCTTTTCCCTTAGCATTTAAATATGCTCAAACCTCTGCATCCTTAAATAAAAAATAAAAATGGAAAAACTAAAATAAAAAAAATTAAAGACATACTACCATCACCTTCCTATTAATTGTGCTACCCACCCACTTAGCCCACACTCTCACCACTGACCTTTTAATTTTCATATTCTTATTAGATCTTATAATGTCTGCATCATCTTACATCTATGATCACTCACTTCTTTTTTTTTTTTTTTTTTAGATTTTTATTGGGGAATTGGGGGGATGGGAACAGTGCTGGGGAATTGGGGAAAGGAGAACAGACAAGTTGCTGTCGTTTTGTTCTTCAATCTAGTTGTGGAGGATGTTGCTTCACTGGCCCAAGTTGGCACCATCATTGCGCTCTTCTCTGGCGAGGCAGATCAGTCGCCGGCTTCTGGACGGCCGCTCACTGCGGCTGCTGGCCGCTCACGCTGGCTGCTGGCCACACACGGTAGCCCATGGCAATCCACTGCCACAGGGACTGCAGCCCACGCCGTTGCTGGCGACTCATGGCAGCCCAGCTCCAGGTTGAGCTGTTGTTCAGCATCTTAGCTGTGGAGGGCAGTGTCACTGGCCCTCATATGTGGGATCCGAACCGGGGCCCTCTAGCATCCCAAGTGAGTTCTTAACCATCGCGCCACTCGGCCGGCCCTGATCACTCACTTCTTAAACTTGCCTATTTTGCATTCATGATTTATTTTCTTCTTCCTTCTCTGACCATCTTCTTGGGTTCTATCGTCTGACATCTTTTCTATGCTTGATAATTCCTGAATCTATACTACTAGTTTGGAACTCCCATGTGACCATATGCCTATTAGATATCACTAACCTGGATATACAAGACATATCCAAAAGAGATTTACTCTTTACCCCACCCATCCTGCTCTTTTTGTAATCCTTACATCGACCATAGTGCCACCCATCTAGCAAGTTTCTCATCATAAATCCGTGAGATATCTTAAAGCACTTTCATTCCCTACCATTCACTTTGTTATCAGTTTATTGATCTACCAAGTCCATCCTTTTGATTTCTATTAGCAATGTCTTGGCTAGTTCAAGCACATATTTATTACGGTGTTCTTAATCTTAATAGATCTCCTTGCCTCCAGTCTAAACCCCACATAGTGACTTTTCTAAAACAAAGACTTATTGTGTCTCTCCTCTATCTAAAATGATTTGGTCTCATTTATACTTGTATAATTAAGATATAATGAACATCATGGAGCCCAGCACTACTCTCCTCCCTCTCTCATCAACTGCTTTCTCTTCCTTGTACAGTTGTACAGTTCAGGACTTCTTACCTTTCTTTCTAGGCCATCTCACCCAGAAGTCTCTGTGTAGACAAAACTAAATGGGCAAGGGCAGAGGCTAGATGGATCAGACTAGACTATGAGACTCCTGCATCCTGCTTAGCTTCCTGAATATGGGAAGTCAGGAACAGAAAGGGGCTTGACCCACCAGAAAGGACACCAAGCAGGAATGCAGTTATTCCCTGGCCTGAGACATCCCCCATGGAGGAGCAAAAGGACCAGAAAAAAGTATATTAATACTGTAATCCAGAAAGCTGCAAGCTGATGGTCATCATTAAATTCTAGAAGCATTCTTACTATGGATGTAGATTAACCAAGCCTAGCTTTAATGAGAATTGTGGGTCAGAGATAGCAACAGAAAGGAATAATCTCTTACCATGTTTTATCTCATAAAGATATTTAAGTACAAATATATACATTTTATATATTTTAAAAATTTAATACAATGAACTAATTGTTTAATTTAAAAACAAAGAATTAACTGAGCCAATACCCTTTAATGGCTGTCACATATAAAGTTTAAGTTCCTCAGTGACATACACAAGATCCTTAAATTGGCTCCTTGCAACTGTCTCGCTTCACCCTTCTAGCCCTAGCAAAATGACTATTTACAGTTTTCCAGACATATTATATTATTTTCACATTTATGTGCTTTTGTCCATGCAATATTTTTGGCCTAGAAACTTAACCCTTTGTTGTCAGTCTTTCTGATAAATTCCTATTTATTCCTCAAGATTGCATCTTCCCAAGTGCTTCCAAATTCAAGAAAAAAAAAAAGGTCTTAATAAATGTTTACTGAATTGAGCAATTTATTTGTTTAGCTACGCTACTAAACTCTGAGCTCTCCAGTGACCAACCATCCCATGTGGAACTTTTAGTGCTAAAACCAAGACAGTCCTGGGGTCACCACAATCCACAAAGACAAAAAATATGTCAAAATCATTCCATATTCCTATCTAGATAATGTTTACCAAATATAATTGAACAGAAATGTTTAAAACAATGGGTGAATCAAAGATGGCTGTAAACAAGCCAATTTCCTAAAGAAGTAAACACTGGCCTGATTCCAATGGTACCAGACTTACTTTTTATTCCTTAACAGACAGGGCTATTACCAAAGACTAGCGCTCATAACATATCCGATATCATCAATGCAGTTTAGGCAAATAGCCAGGGAGGAAGAAAGCAGGTGATAAAAACTTCTGAAGAATTAACACTGTCATCACCAAACTCATGTTTGTCTACACTGTTAAGACCTGGGAGTAAGTGCTAGGTAGAAAGGTCAATCACCAACTACACCTATGTTTACTATGACATTCGATAAGTGAGAAAGTCTCAAAAGCACCTAAAAGAGCAGGCACATTTCTCCCCACTAAACAAGGGAGAATTTCACTAAGATCCCAATGTCTGTCTGAACTTGGCTAGGACCACAATATTATTTACTAACTATGGCAAAAAAACTCTGAATACTCCTGTATGATGTGATTCCTTAAAATGTTTGCAATTAAAAAAACCTTCAGGGCCGGACGAGTGGCGCGATGGTTAAGAACTTGCTTGGGATGCCAGAGGGCCCCGGTTCGTATCCCACATATGAGGGCCAGTGACACTGCCCTCTACAGCTAAGATGCTGAACAACGGCTCAACCTGGAGCTGGGCTGCTGTGAGTCGCCGGCAACAGCGATGGCGTGGGCTTCAGTCCCTGTGGCAGTGGGTTACCATGGGCTACCGTGTGTAGCCAGCAGCCAGCATGAGCAGCCAGCAGCCGCAGTGAGCGGCCGTCCAGAAGCCGGCGACTGATCTGCCTCACCGGGGAAGAGCGCAATGATGGTGCCAACTTGGGCCAGTGAAGCCACATCCTCCACAACTAGACTGAAGAACAAAAGGACAGCAACTTGTCTGTCCCCCTTCCCCCAATTCCCAGCTCTGTTCCCATTCCCCCAATTCACCAATAAAAATCTTTAAAAAAAAAAAAAACCTTCACACAATGTCAGAGGGGTAGTAGATTGGGGGAGGGAGGTTATCACTTTGTGAAGGGTGTAAATGTCAAACTTATTACATTGTTTTGTATACCTGAAACTAAAAAACAAACAAAAAAACCCCCCAAAACAACAAAAAAACCCCTTTACAATCCTCCCTCTGTTAATTCCTTATTAACAATGAGTCTGCACTCTGCTGATCAGAATACCCCTATGGTAAGTTGTTCCTAATGTATAAACATCAGATGCATGTAAATGCAAAAAATGGCATTATTGGGTTTACCTATAACCCCAATTAACTAGCTGAAACTAAGAGGGTCAGAAGAGAGGAGAAAATGCTTATCCTCATTTGATTTTACTAAATTACCTGTTGTTCAGCAAAATGTTAGAACACTTAATATCCCGATGCAGGAAATTCTTTTTGTGACAGTAATCCAATCCTTCCATTAGCTGTTTCATGAATGACTTGATATGGTCTTCAGAGAAGTGCACCAAACCAGATTCTAGCAGTCCCATTAAGTCGTGGTCCATATACTCAAATACAAGGTAAAAGGCACCTATGTAAGATGAAAGAAAAAATTAAAAACAAGAGAAAAAAAAAGTATTAAATGATAATGCCTCAAATTTTAATATAATTTTGAAGATGACCACAAAACTCTCTGGAACAACCGCTTAATTTTATAGATGAAGAAAGTGAAACTCAGAATAGTTGTATAGCTTGCCCTTTCTAATAATAAATAACAGAACTACTTTTTAAATTAATCTTCTGACTCCTAATCCAGTGCTCTTTGGACTAGTTATGTCTCGAGGGGGACAACTGCCCTGATCAGGTTTTATTATTAGTCTTTTATGATCTAAGTCAGTTGGCAAATTACAGACCTTGGGCCAAATCCAGTCTGCTTGTCTGTTGTAAATAAAGTTTTATTTGTAACACACAACCATGTCCATTTGTTACATATTGTCTATGACTACTTCTGCAGAAATCTTTACCTTAGTAAACAGGACTCACATGCCTGGGCAGTACGATCTATTCAGTATAAATTATTAGTGAAATTGATAGTATTTTAAGAATTGAGGGCCAGCCAAGTGGCGCATTGGTTAAGAGTTGGCTTGGGATGCCAGCTCTGAGCAGCAGTGCCCCGGTTCGGATTCCACATGAGGGCCAGTGACGCTACGCCCTCTACAGCTAAGATGGTGAACAACAGCTCGACCTGGAACTGGGCTGCTGTGAGTCACTGGCGATGGCATAGGCTGCAGTGGGGCTGGACGGCAGCTGGGGTGTGGTTTCGTGAGATTCAGTGTGCCGCCGTGAGCGGCCGTCCAATGGCTGGCGAGCGACTGCCTCAGCCAGGAAGAGCGCAATAATACCAACATGGGTCAGTGAAGGGACATCCTCCACAACTAGACTGAAGAACAAAAGGACAGCAACTTGTCTGTTCCCCTTCCCCGATTCCCCAATACTGTTCCCCTCCCCAAATTCCCCAATAAAATCTTAAAAAAGAATTGAAAGAAAGGTGAATCATCTCATTAAACTCCCTAAATTTAGAAATCGATAAAAAAAGTGCACTAAGAAAACTGTAAAACATTTGAAATCCACACTATCATTCCACTTGCGACAGGGTGCATGATAGAGAAATATTGTAACATAAGAAATACTAGACCTAGTTAGACATTGAACTATCCAGTCTAAAAGTCTGTCTCGTAGTAGCATAAAGGCAAGGATTCTTAATCTAGGGGGTAGGCTTCAAGGATTCTTCGAACTCTCTGAAACAGTATACAACATTTTAAAGGTATTTTTTTGAAAAATGGATCCATGTTTAAAGAGTCCATGACTCCAAAAAAGTTAAAAACCACTGCATTAAAGGAATATCTTAAGAGATTTAGCTACAATCTCATACAAATTTATAAGAATACACTAAAATTGCAAAGATAAGTAGACTAAGGACACAAAAAGACAACTCAGAAAAGAGAAAGTAAATAAAATTGATAAACATGCAAAAAAATTCAGAAGTAATACAAGAAATGCAATCCAAAGTATCATACTTCACCTATCAGGATGATAATTTTTAAAAAATATCCACTGATGTTAGGGACCATCAGTGGATGGGCACTCACTGATGGGACATAAATTACTGTCTTGAAAGCAACCTAACATTAAATACGAAAACCCCTTTGACAAGATAATTCTACTTCTAAGAAACTATATTAATAAATAAATCTAAATGCAACGATTAATGCCCAAAGAAGCTCAATACAGTGCTATTATATATTATATATATGTATAAAATGGCAACTAACTGCTCAACAGGGGCTGCTGAAGTAAATCTGGATTCATCTACTTGTATGTACAGTCATTAAAATGTGTTAATAACATGGAGAATTTCTTATAACAAGTTATAAACACTAAATATACTTTGATCTTAGCTACGTTAAAATAAATATGTATAACATAAAGTACTGGAAAGAAATATGCCAAAGTACTAATACTGTTGTGGGTTTCTATGGATGGTGGTATACTGGGATGGAGCGAAAGAGAAGTGATTGCCATTTTCTTTTTCTTATTCTTTTACATTTTCAATTTTTCCACAATGGACATGCAGAAAAACATCTATCCATCCATTATTTTTTTTAAAAGAATTTAAACAGTACATGGTAAATTATTTAAGCAGTACAGAATGGCATGGATGAAGTCTCTCTCCAGAAGCAATCAATTAACATTTTCTTGTGCATCCTTACAGAATTAGCTACACATTGTATTATGTTTATAATCAGAAGACACACCCCAAAAATAAATCTAGTATTCTTAGTTCTATGCAGATCTAACTTTCATAAATTTATCTGAATACTGTTGCATAAGCACCATTTATTTGCTTTAAAACTATCTACCAAACTCAAGAGATGCTACTCCCCTACTGCTAATATCTTTTGAGACTCTGTAAATAAGTCCAGCTTAACTTTATCAGTTACCTTCCTAATTTTATATACTTCAATCATATTCTTTCTGTAAAATTTATTTTTAACTATAGTTGACATACAATATATTAGTTTTAGGTATACAACATTGTGATTCAACTTTTATATACTTTATGAAGTGATCACCACAGTAAGTCTAGTAACCATCTGTCACTGTACATAGCTATTTCAATATCATTGACTATATTCCCTATGCTGTACATTCCCCTGACTTATTTTATAATCGGAAGTTTGTATATTCTTAATTCCCTTCCCCCCATCAAATTCTCTCTTAACATTCCAGATTATATTCACAGATGCCATCTCTCCACAGTTGCCCATGTCTAAACCTTCATATTTGCTTCAATAAAAGTAGGTTAAATGTCATATGCAGACTACTTCAAACATAAGTATGGAAAAAATGAACAATTTTACCCTCCAAATACAGACAAAGGTTACGAACCCAGGAAAACAAACCACTATGTACCTGAAGAAGACTTTTAGAAATACCTGCTTTGAATTCTAAACCATGTAAGTGCAAAAGTATTGGATGCATATGAAAAATAACCAGAAGGGATGATGTACAAATCAGAGTAAGAAACAAACTCATAGATACAGATTACTGATGGTTGCCAGATAAGAGAGGGGTGAGGAGATGGGCAAAAAAAAAGGTGAAGAGGATTAAGAGGTATCAACTGTCAATTATAAAATCAGTCACGGGGATACAATGTAGAGCATAGGGAATTTGGTAATATCATAATACGTAACTAAGTATTGTGACAACTGGTTACTAGACTTATCACGGTGATCACATTATAAGGTATATGAATGTCTAAATCACTGTTTAACACCTGAAACTAATATATGGTTTGTAAAGTATAATTAAAAAGAAATTTAAAAAATGAGAGTAACTGATAAATCTGGGTTTTAATTTCCATTATTACTATAATTTGTAAAAAAAAAGAAAAAAAAGACTTTAAAATGTTGGTTGGATGAGGACCTCATAACTGTTTATATGCTGACCTTATTAGGTGTTATAGCAGACTCTAATTTTAATGATTAACAGTAATTTTTAAAAGTATAAGAGTACACTGATAAAGAATGGACATTTCATAAAATAAGCACTGCTCAACATAAGAGCAATCTACTAACATCTTAATGCTGGTATAGATTCAAAAAGTAAGCTGGACTTTAGGACAAACTGTTAAAAAACTGAAACAGGCATACAAGCTAAGAAAGGAAAATAAGATGTACCAGTCTACGCTGTAGAAACATAGGTCTTTGCTCGTACCTTTGTCCTTCTTGAAATCCAGTGCATCTTGTTTATCTGTGACAATTTCCTTCATGTTAACAACACTTTGGTGGATTAGCTGACGAAGGATTTTGATCTCACGAATGGCTGTGATTGGGAAGCCCTCTTTTTCATTGTCTAGTCTCACCTTCTTCAGGGCGACTAGCTCTCCTGTCACAATAAATTCAAAATGTTACATCATCAATTAGCATTTTTTGGCCACCATCGTGAACCAGCCAATATATGTCCTTGCTCTGAAAGACAGGCTTAATGCCTACTTTAATGCTTTATGCCAGATACTTTTATATCTTAAAAAATAAATCCCTAAGTTCCCTTTCTTATTTTTGAATTTTTTTAAGATTTGAATTTTTAAATTTCATATTCAGTTAGGCCTAAAAATTTTGGTTATTAAAATATACTAATAGTTAAACTACTTTACCTTCAAGGACTAACTCCTTACCAAACAAAGAGCAACTTACACATTTTATTTTTATTCTCCCTTAAATTCCAAGCAAACTTATTATAAAACATTTACAATAAACAACAAAAAAGAAGGTTTTAAACAGTAATAATTATACTACCCTTTTGGGAAATTTTAGTCTATTTAGTAACTTTTGGGAGACCAAATTAGAACTCAAAATTTACTTTTGCTAAATCCACTTAAGACATTAGTACTGCTAACTTTTTAACCTTCTGACATCTAGAACTTTGTGGCAATATTTACCCGTGTCTTTGTCCTTGGCTTTATATACTTGGCCATAGGTTCCCTCTCCAATAATTCCAATAATGTCAAACTTGTCCACACAGCGTTTCCCCCAGTCACTTTCTGTTTGTCTTCTTTCTCCATAACGAGGACAACAAATTCTAAAAATGGGAAAACAAAAATAAAAACAAAGTTAGTTTTAAAAATTAAGTCTATTCAAAGAAAACAATTATTTTATATCTTTGCCTCCTGAATCTTCTATGAATTTTATTAAAAAGGCAGGAATTGGGCCGGCCGAGTGGCGCGATGGTTAAGAACTGGCTTGGGACGCCAGAGGGCCCCGGTTCGAATCCCACATATGAGGGCCAGTGACACTGCCCTCCACAGCTAAGATGCTGAACAACAGCTCA